TTAAAAACCAAAAAGATATTTTTTCTTAGTAACACTTATAATATATCAATAATCAATTTTTGTAAAATATCTAATATTTCTATATCTATATAGATTACTTTTTTAAAAACTTTAATTGAAAATATCTTGACAGCTACTTGACCAAATTCAAAAAAATTTTTATTAGAATTCTATAGGTCTGTAAAATTCAAATAAAAAAAATCATCAAAATTGATCAGGTGATTATTGAGATATCTTCAATCAAAATTAGAAAAAATTTTACCATAACTATTATTTTGATAGATGTTTAAAAGGTATTTTGATAACTACCTGATCAAATTCAATGAATTTTTTTTATTAGAATTACTAGTTCATAGAATTCAAAACAATGTTGGTCTGGTGGTTATCAAGATATCTTCAATCAAAGTTAGACATATTAGCGGATTTTTACACAACCTTCAAAATTAAGAAATATTGACCAACTAGTTGGGGTGAAATTAAACCAATAAACTCATAAAATTATGTACGTACGTACGTACATATATACATACGAAATTAAATGTGGGTAATTATTTTTGAATCCAGACCAAAATATTATTAAGACATATATACCCATGTTTTTATTATAGTGCCGGCACTGTTTCCTTTTTCCCGGTAATCAGTTAAAGGGTGGGGTAATCAGTTAGACGCAACTTTTTATTAATGATTTTTTTTATTTTGAGGGTGCTTTATAGGACGTACAAATCATTTGACCATTCGTATTACAGTATTAAGATTCAGGAGTCATCTTAGGGACAAGTAAAAAGACCTAAATCCGCCGATATGAGAAATTTTGCCGCGGCTATTATTTTGATAGATGTTTAGATTTTTTTTTAAAAAAATTTAATCGAAGGTATCTCAACGACCACCTGACCAAATTCGATGTTTTTTTTTTTTATTTGCATTCTATGAGTCTGTAGAATTCAAATAAAAAAAATTCATCGAATTTGGTCAGGTGGTCGTCGAAATTTTTTTTAAAAAAGTGATCTACATGGATGTGGAAATATCAGTCGCCTTTTTATAATTACCAAACAAAAATATTTTTGTAAACTATATACTTTAGGCATGAATATCTCGTGACTCTGATCAGAATTGGGCGATTCTCGATGAGAGTATAAAAATCACTTGGTTTGAATTACAGAATATGAACAATTTAATTGTAAAAAAAAAGTACATACCGGTATATCAAATGAAAAGTAGATTAATTTCAATCTTTCGTGATCAGTGATCAGAATTGAATGAAATTTATATAATTCGATTCTTCTCATCGAGAGGAATCGAATGGAATAAGTTTCGCCCGATTTTGGTCACGGAATCACGAGATATCCCGATTCGTCATATATCCTCCTTCGCCATAACACTCCCTTATACATATAAAATATGAATAATCCATTGATCTAGTTTGTTTTTATCTATTCTTTATAGTTTTAAAGTGAATTAATTTACAGATTAATTGTTTGCATGTAGACACATTAAACCATTTTCATATTGTAGAAAGTTGTTTCTCGGAAACCTGCATAAATATTGATGAATTGGGGATAATGAATTAACTGATAATTATGTTGAATAAATGAACACTATCTAAATGCGGAAGATGTGATTGGATTCCGTCATGTTCCTTTAAGAATGTTTTTAAAAAGCGCGTAATACCAGTAAATACAGATAATAAAGAGTTTAATTAACAATATTTTTTAAAATAGTCTACGAATAAAATTTAATATCTGCATAAATAAGTTTGATAAGTATTAGTTGGTTACTTTTAATTAGTACAGTAAATACCACAAACATTTTTTATTTTTCTCTCTTATTGCTTCAAATGCTTAGAATTATTAAATTTTGACACCAATTATTTCAATGCTATCGATACTATAGTTACTTTGATAATTAAATTGCTTATTAAAAAACCTGTTTTGTTCACTTAAATCAAAACTTTGATTAAGTTCAGATTCATACCCTTCATCCTCCTCTGCAAAATATTTATCAATAATGTTATAAGCAAGTAAACGAATTTCATCATTCTCGTGATTTTGCAATTCGTTTATTCTTTCTATTCCACCTGTTTCTTCAATTAACAAAGTACATTGATTTTTACAATTATTCTCCTCCGCGAGCGTTTCTCCAAGCCGGAGGATGGCACCGATAGCTTTTAATACTACACGAATGATATCATTGTCCATATAACTAAGCATATTGACTAATGGTTGAATACATCCTTGTCGCACAATGCATATTGTTAATTCTGGCCTATTATAGCACCTTCTGATTGCATTATATACAACGTAACAAGTCTCCCTTTGTGTTTGAAAATCAGAATTTGCCATGAGATTTATCGCTAATGAGATCAAACCAACATGAATAACATGTTCAATTTGATCAATATTACCGGCTGCTATGTGAGAAAGGATAAAGCATGCATCCTTTCTGATTGAAGATTTTGTGCTAACCAATAAAGATTTCAAGACCGTAAGAATTCCACAATCGATAATCACTTGACGTTGTGAATCGTTGCCGGAGACAATGTTCCGAACGCAGTGCAAAGCAACAGCTTGAATCTCAGTATTATCGTGTACCATCAAATTTACAAGATGTGGTGAAACACCTAAATTAATCACATCTTCTATATGGTTATTATCGCTAAGGTAACTTAACGCCCAACAAACATTATATAAAATTTCGTCATCCTTAAAGTTAATAAGCTGGGCAAGAACAGGAAATGTTGAAGAAATCTGTGGCCAATCTGAATCAGTAATATAGTCACGGCAAATGGATGAAAGTGTCCATGACATCGTACGTAATACTGAACAAGGTTGAACATTAACATTTAGAATATGTTGGCATAATGCACCAAGATTACCTTCACGTAAAACGAGCTGTCGAAACTGAGGACTATCAATAGCGATGTTACCTAGCGCCCATAAAATATGATCCTGAAGCCTCATATCTGTCGCATCGCTGAGTAATTCTGTGAATATAGGAAGTGCACCAGCATCAATTACGGCTTTAATTTGTTCAGTTGATCCGGCAGAAATATTTGATAAAATCCACGCAGCTTCATATCTTAGATCCACATTCTTTGATGACAAAAATTGAACAAATATTGGAATCACACAATGTTCTATTATTTTTTGAATTGGAGTTATACTTTCTCTGCTCAACAATTTTCTGAATTTCGAGAGTGAAATTAGCTGTATTTCTATGCAATTTGAGTTTAACCCATCAATCAATTCATAAAACTGTTGTGGTATTGATGAGGTATTATATGAACTTATTTCACCAAGATCAGTAACCGATGAAGTATTTGGTGTACGTATTCCTCCTAATTTTTTGATATTACCACACCATGGAACCCTTGATATACTTGAATAAAAATCATTGTTATATGGACTTGGATCTTTTTGATAATTACGGCGAGATGCTAGAAGTTTTTCTCGACCTTGTCGACGAATTTCGATTTGTAGTTTCTGATGTATTTGAAATAATTCATCAGTTTTTAATTCATATTGAGTTTTAAAGATTCTCTTTTTTTCTTGTTTTTTGTTCATCGTTGATTAACGCCAAATATACGTATCTAGAACCCTCCCTATGTACATGTAGTGTTATAATGAAAAAAAAACTTTGATACGTAGCAACGTTTAGCAGTTTATCGCCGTAAAAACAAAAAATTCAATTATTTTTTTTCTTCCCATTTATCGTACACCAAAACTTCCGAAATTGAAGCATTACCGAATGATACGGGTATTTATACTTTTTCATCAGTCTAGTTGATGTGCGTCACACGCCCGGTTGATGTGCGTCACACGTACGTACGTACGTACGTACGTAAACAACTTGTGATTGTGATCTGTAATAAGCTTAAAATAAATACTTTTTTTAAAAAGAAAATAATAATAAAATAAAAATAAAATCGATAAAATAATGCAATTGGTTGAATATAATTGTTCATTAAGCTATCCCAATGCCGAAACAAAGTAATTTCTTTGCTGTTTAAGGGACCATTTTCTGTACTTAACAATAACATGAAAACTTTAATGCCGCAGCTCTTTTGAAATTACTTCTTCGATAGGCCGTAATCATTGTCGTGCTAGTATAATGTACTGTAGTACGCATGCATGGTTACCTTTGTTCACCCCAAAAAATGGTTTAATCGAACCAAAATTACTTGTACTGACTGTATGTAATAATACGATAAAATTTTGACGAAAGACTTTTAGAAGTTTTATAAATCCTTTTTTTCATTACGTATATTAAATTTAGGAGTATTGTATATATTATAACAATAACACACGTATTAGATCGGTTGGTCAATTTTTTACTTGCTATGAAAAGTCAGATCATCAAGTCACTTTTTAATTTACGGCTATGTGCGTAAGTATGAATTTGCGTGTAACATTAATGAAGATTTAATATATATATATATTTCATTGATATATAACATGCAACTTCAAATATCTATCCTGGCTTTCATTTTTTGCTCAAGAACAATTACATGATTCAAAACATTTGATAAGACAAACGGTTTGTGTTCATATTGATCAAAAAATATCAAGAATTAAAAATATCTTTATCATGTGGAATTTATATGTTAGTATATTTGGATATACGAACTCATTTATTTAATTGGTGAAAGTCCCAATTAGTAGAATTAGATTTTCTGCACCAAAAGAGATAAAGAATACTTTAATATTTAGCAAGATATGTATCCAAGACTGAAACAAAATTACTATTTTTAGCTAGGTTTAAGATGTAACCCTTTTTCACTATCGTTGTTATAATTAACCATTCAAAGAAATATAACAATGCACGTGGAATATCTTAATTTAGAATCATAAGTTGTACGATTTATAACAAATAATTATAATGTAATTTAATTAATATTTGCAACGTACATGCGAAATTTGCTTTTTAAACTCTATTTTCTTTCCTTTATTCTTGGTAAATTGTATTAGACAAACTGCTCAAAAGATTTTGAAAATTTCTTCGGAATGGATCCTGTAGGTTATATTGTTTAAGCCATTTCATCTAGAGAATTGGTCACTAACATTTTCTTTTTATGTTGGCTTAGTCTTTAAATAGTTTTCAACAATCTCCTCTAATGTCGCCTAATGCCCCACCCCTTCCGAATTCTCCTCCAAATTCACTAATGCCCCCTAATTCACCTCCATATCCAACATCTCCGAATTCACCTCCTAGATCTCCTTTGATGCCTCCGACCTTGCCTCCAAAATCTCCTTTGATGCCTCCAAAATCTCCTTTAATGACGCCAAGCGTACCGCCAAGATCTCCTATAATGACGCCGGGTGTACCTCCGTCTCCTTATATGCCTTCAAATTTACCTCCAAAGTCTCCTTATATGCCACCTAGTCTACCTTCAAAATCTCCTTATACATCTCCAACTTTGTCTCCTTCAAATTCTGTATCATATTCAATGTCTCCTTTAATGCCACCAAGTTCAACATTTTCAAAATCTCCTCTAATGTCACCTAACTCATATGTGAAATCAGATACTAGTCCTTTAAGCATCCTCATTGAGACAGAAGAGGAATATTTGTCTGATTTGAAATGTTTATTACAGGTTTAGTAATAAAACATATTTAATATATTCCTAATTGTATTATTATTAAAAGTAAAATTTTTTCATTATTCATAGCGAGTCACTACAAGTTGGAATAATGAAAATCCACCTCCGAAACAGTTAGATAGTATGTTCTGTTTAATTGATAAAGTTTATAGGGAAAATCGGGAATTGTTCCATGTTCGTATTCTTTAGTTACTTCTTTTTTAATTATATAAATTTTAATAATCATTTTTTTTTTTTTAAAAAAAAAAAAAAAAAAAAAAAAACTTATAATTCGATATCGATATTAGAAACTTAACAAAATTAAACATGATTCACAATTTACACAAAGTTTCGCTGACGTATTAATGAATTGGGTAATTAATACTACTCACTTTTGATTGTTATAAATACGCAAAATTCTTGTTATATTTATTATTTTTACAACTTGCTCGTTAGATTGATAGAATGGAAAAGCCATACACAAATTATTGTCAAGGTTATATACGAGGCATCGAGTCATTACCTGAGATTGAAGGAAATATAACTTTGCAACAAACGTTGAATGTAATTTATTGTTTTATTATAAAATTTTTTTTTTTTTTAATTTTTATTTGTAAAAAAAATATCTAATATATACATTATTTTAATTTACTATTTTAGGATATCTCATCAGAAAAGAATCAACCCAGAACTTTAGAATCCTTTTTCGAATTACCATTAAAGAGAATTCACTATTATAAAAGATTTTATTCAGTTAGGATCAATAAATTTTCTTGAAATTGTCATTTTATCTACAACTTTCTACAACTGATATATATTTTGTAGCGTCAGCTTAGGAACTCTGAGCCGGGAAGCACGGATAATATGTATTTTACAAATGCAATTAAACGCATTGATTCACTTATAGAAACAGAAAAGCGGGCCAAGGATTCGCCAAATTCAAATGACTTACCAATCTCACCAACTAATCAACCTTCAGCTCCATCTGATAATTCTCAAGTAGATATGGACCACCCTGATTCTCCAGGGTCACCCGTAAAAAAAATTTGGACATTGACAGAATTGGAATTTTGCTTGGATACAACTAAAACTGTGGATTTTATCACATTGAACAAAAAGGTATTATAAGTAATCTTTAAATATCTATAATATAGTAAATTTTTTTAAAATAATATATTCTTTATTACAAAAATTTTTTTATAGCAAATCAAAATTGATCTTCGCCCTCCGCGTCTTCCATTTAATCGTGAACTAATTCTTGATTCTGACTTTACTATAGTAAATGAAGATTATGAATCAAACAGTTCACCTAACAATTTTGTTAGAGCACATTTATTTTTATTGACAGATCTTTTGTTAATCTGTCAACAATTAAGTCCGGAAGAAAAAGAAGACAATCTCAATAAGGAATTTAATTTATTACATCCACCATTTAGTGGAAGGTATTTATCTATAAATGACAATTATGATGGAAAAGAAGGTTTGTTTGATTTTTATATAGAATTTTTAGTGGGTTTTTTTTCAACAAAGTGAAGAAAATAGAATAATTAAAAAAAAAATATATATATATATATATATATTGGTAGATTCGATTCGATTAAATTTTATGCAAAAAAAGGATTTGGTGATTTTGACAAAGAATCGTGAACAAAAAGAAATGTGGTTACAAGAACTTAGCAAAATGATAAACTTTACTATTCAAGCTGGTCGGTATTCGTAAATCTGAATGAGACAGTACTTGACAAATATTTTTGAGGTAACATGTTTTTTTTTAAAAAAATAATAATTGTTAACAGCTAGTTCAAGACCGCCAACGATCTCTGGGCTAAATACATATGGCCAACAAAATCTATCAAATTCACGACTTTCAGTTCCTCAAAATCCGCAAAGTCCACAAACACCACATATTAAAAAAAGTTTAAGCACTGGTAATCTACAAGGAGATTATCGACTGCAACCTCCAGCAGGAAGTCATATGTCACATCCTAATTATGGGCAAAATGAACTAAATGTTACACAGTATGAAAGATTTCCACGAACAGCATCAACAATGTCGCAAGACAATGAACTAAACGTTGCACAGAGATTTCCACGGACAGCATCAATGCGGTCTCAAGAACGTTTAAGAGAAGTAGAGCAGACAGTTACTCGATTAATTGAAGCAAAGTGTAAAGTATTCTTACAAAAAGATCATGGAGTTTGGAAGAATTTTGGATGGGGAGATATGACATTGGATTTAGAATCACCATCACGAAATAAAAGAATTATTATCGACATAGACAAACCAAAAATGGCAAGATTTGTAGACGCGATTGTTTCGGAATCGGGAGTTCAAAAAACAGGAAAGTGTAAAGTAGCAATTACAGTATCAAATGCACAAACACCTGTACCAAGTATTTATTTGATGCAAATGAAGGATGATGTTACTGCTAAAAAAGTGTATGAATATATAAGAAAGTCATAATTTAGAGTCATAATTTAGTGAGGACATTATTATCATAAAATTTATTTCTATATCTTATATATTATTCATTAATGTATTCATGTATACATGTGGAATTTGTTAATATTTGGATAATTTTGTAGTTTTTTTTTAACTATATATTTATCTTTGGCATTATGTTTTTTACTAGTTTCAACAACTTATTAAATAATATAATATGTATTATCGATAAAAATCTTATCGTTATTGCTGGCAACACAACACGTGAACAAAGTCACAGGATAACCTTTTTTTTTTTACCGTTATTTGATTCCTTGGCTATGTAGTACCTTTAAAATCATATTATATTGTATATATACAGATATACGTCCATTACACAATTAATGCGGTATTTTTAGATTAACCAAAAACAGAAATCATAATTTTAAAATGCATCCTTTTTGGTTCAATTTGAAGAGGAGCCGTACCGGTATCGGTACTCTTCGTCTGTAACACTTCTTTATTTGGCATTCATTAAATTATCACGTTAGAATAATCGGAAAAGATGCATATTTTTTAATACGAAAATTCTAAACTTTATGTATTCTCATAAATTATACAGGAATTTAACGAATAGGTACACTTAAAATTATTATGATTACAAACATGTATGTGTGCACCGCATAGGCTGAGCACTCGCGATGATCAAAAAAAAAAGAATCCTATTCTATATAATGGAAAAAAAGGTATCAAAAAATATATATAACAAATTGAAATATTGCATGAATATTAATCACAATGTATATACATACGTACGTATTATTTACATAAATATACTTATATAATATTAATTTCTTAATCGAACTTAACGTTAACCCTCTTTTCCAATTATATCAATACAGAAACAATATGGTATTTTTTTTTTAGTAATTTCTTGATTGATTTACTGAAATTTGTTACAAATAGTCAAATATCTACACGAATTAGCATTAACACATTGCTAATGCATAGTATTTGGTTACATCCACACGGATAATAAATACGTAATCAGTAAAAATTCAATCACATGAATAGTTAAACATATACGCTCTATTACTAACACTTATAATTTTTTGACATTTAAATTCTTAAACAAGTATAAATAACATTCACAAAGCACCAATCAATTAGAACCTGATGTAATCGAAGTAACTTTAGTGTAAAGATCATATCGTTTTTGTAAAGTTGTTGGAATAGATTGACGAGATGATTTCATCTCATCTAAATCTTTAAAAAAAAAGAATTTAATAATAATTGTTAGAACAATGAAATGATATCTTAACTTTTTTCCATAACAAGTGAAATTTGTTACCAATATCCGCGTAAACAATCGATTCTTCATGATCGGTAGTTGCAATCACAGTGCCACTGTGAATTTTTTTGACGAGGCATATTAAATAAGGAAATATAGTAAATAATTTAGGTAAAACATATCTATATTTGAGCGCATGTAGGAAATAAGATTTACCTGGGGTTCACAACGGTTGAATGACCCCATGCGTTATAGGTTGCACTCATATCACGGGCAGGAGAACAGGTTGCCACGTAAAACTTGAATAATTAAAAATTATTGCTTATGTGTTTCGGTCAATGAGCTCAAATTAGAAATTTGGTTTACCTGGTTATCAAGCGCCCTTGCCCTTTGTAAAACTAGTCATTTTTAAAATAATATTAAGCTTATCGCTAATAAAAGATTACCTAACAAATGACTTTAAAAATAATATTAAAAAGAAAGACTAACTCACGTTCCCAATGTAAGGGACCTGTAGTCATGTTAAAAGCTCCCGGATAAAACATTGCAATACATCCTGCAAAACAATGATACAATACAAAGGAATATTACATTTATGTCTTTAAGAAACTAGACATATTAATAATTCATTTAACCTTCTTGAGCAGCAATCATGGCCATTTCTGGAAACCTTATGTCGTAACATATTCCTACTCCGATCTTACCAAATTCTAATACAAAAAAGAAAATAAAATAAAAAAAATAAACCGATTTAAACAGATTGCTCAAAAAAAAAAAAAAAAAACTATTAAAATCAAATTATTAATTTAATGCAAGAAAAAAAAATACTAGTATCAAAATGTGTTAGAGAATTTCCAGCACTTAGAGAATCACTCTCTTTGAATGTAATTTTGCCAGGAATGTCAATATCAAATAAATGAACTTTTCGATGCTTTGCAATCATAGAACCTATAATTAAGAATAAAGTAGTGACATTAAATCTTTATAATGAATTATAAATACACCTATATAATATAAAAGCTTTAAGCTACCTTCCGGATCATAAACAGTACAAGTATTATACATTTTTCCAGTAGAGTCTTCACGTTCTGGAATGGATCCTTGAAAAAAAAAATGCAAAAAGATTAATTACGTTCAAATTGTTTATTCTTTCTCATAATTTATACCTCCAATAATGTAGGCCTTAGATTCCTAAAAATCATTAAAAGAGCCATATATATTAATTAGATTAAAATATAAAAAAAAAAAAGATACATATTAATTGCTTGCCTTAGCAGCTCCAGAAAGAATTTTCACACTCTCACCATTAGGAATATTTTCAGCATATTGAGCAAAATATTTAGTACCATATAATGAATTAAAACATTCCTATAAAATAATTCATGAATTTGTCATTCTTTTATCAATCTTCGCAAGATTAGGAAGAACAAAAATACCGGTAGACAAATTATCTTTGCTCCATTTTTCGAAGCTTCCAGAATTTTATTTTTAGCATTTATAAGATTTTTAGATTTATCTGATGAAACAGCTAATTGAATGCATGCAATTTTAAAGGACATTCTGGATTCTGAAAATTTTCGATTGGGATAATAAAAGTTTTTAAAAAAATTCCCTTTAATGGGAAAAGTTTTAGTAAGAGATCGTAATAAAATTAACCGATTTGACGAAATCATTCAAAGTATAATAACGGTAATGCGTTCGATCGACTTATATGAATAATGGCAAATGAAAAACCTGCAATGCTAAGCTAAATATAAAATTTATTGATAATAACACATGATTAAAAGAACATATTCGAATCATTTTGATTGGATCGATTAAAAGCCCACATTTCTTTATGTAAAGAATTCTATATTTAGAATTCCTGGGCGGTACGGCAAAATGTCCTAGCGTCACCAATCTAAAAAATTTCGTTATCTGGTCAACCCAAATTTCAAGATCAAGTGTAGCCTAAATATACACTTAAACCATAACTCTAACGTTGGTAGCGAAGTTTTTTAGGTTGGTAACGCTAGGATGGTCGTACGGAACCGTTGTTACTATCGTAACTTTTCTGCGCCTGGTATTTAAGTATACATTATTCGGCAAAAATTTTTGACTAGTAACGGTAATAGCGGTAATTTGGTTCAACCGGGCAAATGAACACGTACAGCTTCGCGGCACGTGTCAGCCAATCATTTGCCCGGTTGAACCGTTATTCAAAAATTCAATGGTGTTATATGATCATGATTGGTAGGGAGTAGCGATGCCAACTTAATTAAATTAATTTGGTGATTTAAAAAGCTAAAACTAAAATAATTTTTGTTTTAGCAATTTA